GCAAGGTTTTCAAATAGTACTGAGACACAAATCTGGAAACCTCTCATGATGAATGTCAGGATCGTAGCGGTGATATCGAGTGCGTTGGATCATTTACAAGTGAAAATACTTAAAGAAACAGATATACATATAGTCACTTGTGTTGCTCTTTTGTTTCTTTGGGCTGTTATCCTTTGGCTGAATTTGTTTCAAGAACATATAGCTTAAAATATGTTTTGTATTTGCGGTCTTGAACGGGTTAAATGACTGCACTCTCTGTATATTGTAAGGGTTTTGTAAAGACCACTTCACATATTATTCAGACATACTCTTTCCCCTCAGGGCTTCCCTTTTCAATCCCTTTCCCCACAGAAAGCTTAACGTAGTAAGACAAGGAAGTTTAGATTAAAACCAAAGGCCTTATCTTTATTTTTGCTTTACAAATATGCGTGGTAAAGGAGAAATGCCTGGAAGGTATTTTAACAAGAGCCAGGCCCGACGTCTTGAAAAAAGCCTACCGCGTCTCCAGCTGCTACGATGAGACACGCTAAGTGTTATCACCAGACATTGAACGAGAGGTGAGTGAACTTTAGTTCAATAGTGGGTGTTGAATTGGATCATAGTTGGCAATAAACAGCTTTTTGCCATTATTGAATTATCTTTATTTGTTTTCTTTGTTCTCCTCTTACTGCATATTCTGAACGCTATGTAAAGAACTGTCGAGGGCGGGCCTCAAATTTGTGTCATTGCCATTTCCCTTTGAAAGCGGAGACAGAATTCAATATTCAATATTCATGGTGTATTGGTCAAATGCGTACAAAAGAAAATGTTATTACTATTTAAACCAATTTAAAACGTATTGAGTCGTTTAACTATGACTTTGATATTTTATTCGATCTATAATTGTGATATTTTTACATCGGAGGTGGCCACATGGAAGTGATTATTGATTGTACTAAATATAAATTATTCCTCATAACTTTCAATTTTCTAAGATAATGCTCGTTATTTGCTCTTTTGTCACTGCCGGAGACGCTTCTATATAATCCAAAACTTCCAATACACTAAGTATGCTAGTTTGGTTATGAATATTTTCAGATCTTTTCGGCAAGTATACTTTGCACGTATCGACCCAAGGCATGTAAACCCTGAACCACAGCACGAGTTAGCATTGTGCGAGGTCGTAATATCCCTCGATCTATTCTTTCATAGGTTTCATATTTATTGTAACCTTTCATTGATAAATGTTATTTGAGGTTTACTTGTGCAAATTTCGAATTAATGCTAAAAAAGTCCTCAATATGGCTTATAATGGACCGGGTATACTACTCATTTCTCTAGAAAAGCACCCTATTGGGTTGCTAATTGTTTATTTACTCAAGTAGGCAAGCCTAGTAAGACGTTATAACCATCTAACGGTGTATTTAATCGTTTCTCCTTCTGGTTTTGGGGATTAGAGAGTTGTCGCGGTACGATACAGCAGGACAAGGAAGCTCATGCCGGCTTTTCGGACGTACGCCCGTTCTTCTATTCATATTAACTAAACTACGCTCGTGTTTCTAAGCTTCTCTCGTGTTTTTCAACTCCCACCGTGTTTATATCAGAGGACAAAGAAACGCGCGCCGTTTTATATTTCTTAGATATAGAACTTTTCGATGTCAGGTCGATAGAAAATTTATTGTAAATATCGCCACCATCTTGGATTATCTTAAAATAATTGGATGACCGAGTAAACAAATGCAAAGTTATATTTACTGATTGTGCAGAAAATTCAATATTATTCATGCAGCTGATGATAATTTGGATTATTACGTTTTTTGCTCGGGAGGATAATCTTATAATGATATGAATATGAGGGCCGCATGGCACTTTGAGATACATGATATAGAAATAAAGGAATTAATGTTATAGTACTCAGAAGGAGGTTGGCACTATAACTTTCTATTATTTCTATATCTTTATCTTAATGATGACTTGGTATTTTTCATTCCATCCGTTATGTTGCCATTATTTGAATTGTTTTCTTTCTTTTTCTTTTTTTTTTCGATTCATGTCCAAAAGTCTCTTCGCATCGATTTATGTTCCTGATTCAAAACTAACGACAAACAAAAATATGTTAATTCTCTATGTCATCATGGATTCTATGTGAACATAAGATTATTGCCAGCATTATTACAAGGTTTAATCCTTACCTCATGTTATGTTATTCTGCCGCGCCGCTTCTGTTAGCCAGACTTGACTCAAACGGGGCGGTGGAAACTAACGGTAACGACAAAAATATGTTCTCTGTGTCATCATGGATTCTATGTGAACATAAGATTATAACCAGCATTTATAAAGGTTTGATCCTTACCTCATGTTATGTTATTCTGCCGCGCCACTTCTGTTAGCCAGACTTTGACTCCAATGGCGATCGAAACTAGTGTGAGATGCGCCGGTGTTTCTAAAGAAACAGTTGTATAAAAAAATTATTCTCTTTACTCCGATAAAGGATTGTAACGTCCGAAACGTCAGTAAGTTGTTTCACCTATTTTTACGGTGTTAAATTTACCTTTTTGCATAACTGTTTCTTTGACTCTAACGTTCAGCCCTCGATCTAAAACTAGTGATTTGTTTGTCGTTTGACTAGAGTTTCAATTACTTTTGATTTAGTTTTAAGTTTACCAAGGTTTGTATATAGTATTACCTGCATAACATACATAATTAGATATCATTAGAAGTGGCTGCAATCTGAGATTCAATGCGAATTGTTTCATTTGACGGTTGAATTGAAATCTGTTGGCACACTCATTACTAGGGTGCGGTCAATCGAAATCAAAGAGAGACTCTTTATTAGATAAAACAACGGAGTAGACAAAAATGCATCCCCATCCCGACCCCCCTCCGATCATTTGTAGTTGGGACAAGGTCCAAATCACAAATTCTTTTGGAACACGTTTATTCGCTCAACAAGCTGATCTCTCTCACGCTTTCTCCAATACTCTTCACGTGCAAGCAAGTGATCACGTGACCTAGGGTTAACAAGGAATGCCCTGCTATTGATGTCACTAAATTCAATAGGGACAAAAGTCGATTAAAATGACTGTATTAACTATTTAAGTCATTGCTGAACCGCGACTCTTCTCCAGTACTGTGGTCCTCATTCGAGCCGACGGTTATAGTTTCATGAACTGATACAATCTACTCTCGTTCTCCAACTCCTAGTTCTCTAGTCGTTCTCTAGTTACTCCTAGTTACTCCTAAGTAACTGCTATCTATTTAGAAAGCAACTATTGAAGACACACAAGGCAAGCAGAATATCAGACGAACTTTTTTTCCCGACGGGCGCGTCTAGACACCGCTTTTTTCATGGGCTTCTAATAGACTAGCTCGTTATATTTTTGCAACGTGTTTTCATTGATGTTGCTGCCCATCATTGTTATCCATTCCCTTGGCCTTACCGACATACAAATTAGGATATTATAAATGTTGTCCTTAAACTTGAAGTAAACTGTTGTGATTATGAAGTAGGTCTAACATATAAGATATACATTCCAAGTCTTCAATCGAACTGCTTGTAGCCAATAAAAYTCTACTTATTAATACATCATCCACCTCAGTGGTCATGATTCACATTCCACACAAGTTTAAATCTTTTTTTAAACGTTCCTTCCAACTGGTTTTGCTTCATCATGAAGCATGATAAAGATGTATTAATGGCGTAACGTATACGGAAAATCAAGAATAATCCTCGCTGTTGTACTGATTTCTTTCCTGGTCCGTGGGTCCAATACTTGTTATTCCAATCCAAACAAATGTATATCAGCTAAAATACTAAACCGAAACTATAAGATAATTAGTTTCCGATGTTTATTGGTGGTTTTGGTGTATTTTTCAGTTTAAATTGAGGAGTTTCCGCAACAAGGCGTATTGTTCCCAACCGAGTTTTATAAGACTTATCTCGGCTTACCTACCCGGGAAAAGGGGTGAACAAACTGTTAGTTTCTAAGATTTCATTCCATAAAAGTATAATCCTCTTTGTTGCTACAAACTTATAACTTAAATTTTGTTATTTTTTGTATTATCTACCCGGGAAGTGAGCGAAAACAGTGGATATTAACTTATTATACTATTGATAAACTGTTATTTTTCTTATATTTTACATTCCATATAAATATAATCCTCTTTTCTATAGTGCTACCAAGGTTTCTTAACTTTGTTGTTCTTGTAATATCGACCCGGGAAGTGAACGGAAAACTGTGAAACTTACGTTATTATATTTTTAGATTGTTCCATAGTTTTCTTATTTTGCATTCCATAAAAAAAAATAATCCTCTTTATTGCTTCCAACAGGTTTCTTATCTCTGTTAGTTCTATATTATCTACCCGGGAAGTGAAGATAAGATAGTATATCGTATTATTATATTACGGTCTGATGATTTAATAATAGTTTTTCAACATTACTGCATTGATCGGTCACAGTACTATCTTGGCACAAACCCCAGGCAAAGGTTTATATATCTCCTGTGTTTAAAAACATTACTTGTTGTTCAGTGAGTAATACAAAGTACTTCACTATAAACAACAACAAAAAACAATTAAAATGCCTACTAGTAACTAAGGCAATTCAAAATGAACAGTTTTGCACAAAAGATAAATTTTAACACCGTAAAAAGTTGGTGAAACAATTTAGTGACGTTTCGGTCGTTAATCSTTGGAGTAATTAAAGACAAATTCAAAATGATTCTACATTTGCGCAAACTGAAGATTAGCAGATCGTGATCAAATGGGCACATAGTACTTATTCAAACGTCGAACAATTTACGTAAGACAATATATAGAGACACAAGTGATAACGGTTTTTAGAATTCTATCAAAGAAATGGAATACTCAATTTCTCTTGTTTTAGCTGCCGTTGTTGCTGTTGTTCTGGCTTCACTCGTATGCATTTTTTACGAAGGCTTAGTTATTTTCTGATTCTTTTATAAGGACTCTACTTGATTTTTAGCHGCTGTAAGAACTTCATTAAATTTCGGTGGTGTATTTATGAGGTCGACTCGATTTTTTATGAGGAAAAATTATGTTTGAAAATACAATAATTTAAATCCATTTTTTATGAGGACAATTCCTTTATTTTCTTGTGAGGACTTTGCTCAGTTTCGGTGTTGTTTACATAGGGACTTGCTCCACCCGGAGAGCATGTGAYATTGATATTTAGTYCCTGTTTCTTAATTTTTGGTAAAACTCCATCACAGTATTGGTTCCGCCACAGCATCCGCCACGCATATGGATTTATAAATCTCTATGTTTTTGTTATTTTATCCAATTCATAGAGAAACTAATCTCTCACTACCACGGTTTCTAAATATCGTATTATCTCGGTTGTATCATGCGTACGTTAGCGACTTAAGGGATATAGCTGCAGGTTTATAACGGGAATTAGGAAATCCGCACGCATCGCTGGTAAAAACAGGCCTTAAATTATCTGTACTATTTTTTCTCTTTTTATGCTTTTTGTTTTGTGTGTGTTTTGTTTGTGTTTTTTGCTTTTGTCGTTCTTAACATAAAAGCGATTATTTTAGCTCAAAGGAGTTCATTGCATACAAGAACGACCCGCCTTATTAGTAATTAGAAACAGTGTCTTGACTTTTGAACTTCGTAAGTAACTACATGCTGTCATCATTGGAAAGAAATCACAATTCTTTTTCAGTAAATATTATAAATATCAATGAAATTACAATGGCTTTTTGGTATTCTACTACTGGTTAACTTGACAACGGGTTCTTTTTTGCCATAAGTGTTTCGTATAATTACAATATAAAACTACAAGCTTTTTTTTCTTCACGCGATTATCCCGTGAAAWAGCTTCCTCAAATCTCTTATTTATAAATTATCTACCCGTGACGGAAGATAACCAGGGATTTTTGATACTTTAATCCGCGATAAAATGCTGTTTCTTTTAAATATTCGTCTCATAATATACTGCTCTTTAGTTCAAACGATAGTCACACTTTCTTCGGATGAGTCCAGTATGAGCAATACAAGACTTTTAGTCGTTAATCATTTTTGATTCATTCTCTTTTGTATCAGTCAGAAAATGGACATGAAAAGGTAACCATCTTATATAGTTTTATCTTGGTTTTAAGTACCTTTCCTGACCTTAAATAATTAACCTATTTTTACATTTTTTATTATTTGTTTTGTATAATTTCATATCGAGTGGTAGACGGCTTCTTCGCACAACAGTTTTAATCTGTACTTAATGGTCACTTWGTTTGTGATTATTRCTCTCAAATAAGTAAGAWATTTYCTTGAATGTTCGTAGACATTTTTTTCTGTTACCGAGCGATGTATGAAGAAAGGGCGWAACTTTTAGAAGCACTTTTTGTGTCATATTTCTTGTCAAATATGTTTTAATATGCCTATTTCAGTATTAGCATGCACTGGTGAGCGTAATTACAGTGTAGCAAAACGAGCAGAAATCATCACACCTAAAGATTTCAAGTTATGGAAAATAGATTGGAAGGTTTCGATTGACTTTTGCCGAAATAATTCAACCCTCAAATATTATCTGGCTTCGATAAAAATCGACGCCTTCTTTGCTATTTAAGGGGGCAGCAAACGGCAAACACATGGCTTAGCAAAAAAACTGTTGCAGTAAATAGATGTTTAGTTCTTTTCAACAATGTGTTCTCGGAAAAATACAGAATTAGTGGACGTCGRGATTTTAAAGTCTCATTCACATTGACTTCGCTGTATAGTATTTCGTTTCCTTTAAGAAGGACAACAGCGCAYTGATCAACGCTACGAAAACACATCAATGCAGATGAGACCTTAAATTGGTCCTTTCAGACATTATACCCTCATTTGCGCTGCCATACTTGTCGGCAGCTACCGATCAATTAACCCTCGATTCATTTTAATGATTTGTACATGTTACCTACAAGAGCTAAGCTAAATGAGTGGAAAGTCCCGATAGATTCCCAACTATCATATGCCATTATAGATTTGAGCCATGTTTTTCCTCTTTCATTTCTCATTTTTTCTTTCGTTTCATTTTCAATATTTTGGGTTGAATGTAGATGTGAATATAAACAACCTAAAAGAAGTAATACTAGATTGATTTTTCAGTAGTTTATGCACGTCAATTCAGTAGAAGTCTAGTCAATTTGTTGTTCAAGAAACAGCATATGCAGCGCCTTCAAAAAAGGAGTTAACTTATTCAACAAACAGATTAGCGCCATAATAAATGATTCAACATGTCTTTCTCTTCAACASAGATTAGAAAGGCACGTTCGGTAAAGTCTTTGGACAGACCATCTGTGTCTTATTGCGTAGCAAGAATGAAAAGATTAAGCAAGGGCAAAGACTATAAAAATAATATTTATCTCTAAAGGACGATGCAAGATTTGGTCCCATAGCTAAAACATATGTCAGGGAAAAATGTGGTAAAAACATGTCGCAGTCCTTGCATCTTGTTTTGACATGATTTTGTGATAAAATCGTACAGATTCCACAKTATAATTGAAAAGGTACCTCATTCGACATTCGACATTCAACCAGGTTACCTTTGATTGAACATCCTTGGAAGATTTTGCAAGTGAAAAAAAATCCTCTGACTGAAATATTGAAAGTTTGACATTGAAATTCGATATTCGACAAAGTTAATTCCGAGTGATGCAGTATCCTTATAAATCCTAGACATGGAAGAAAGCGTATGACTATAAAATTGCAAATTCGACATTCAAATTCGACATTCGACAAGCCTGCCAGCGAATAAATGTATGTGGAAATCAGTCGTGGAGTTGGAACAAATCGTCTGACTAGCYCAGCATATGAACATAAGATGGTGTTGACTGTATGGGAATAAGCCTGGCTAGACGTAATGAAAGAAGACGTCTGATAGTTTCGGTTCCCTTAGGGCTTTTTCTATAAAGTTMATGTATGGAAGCTTAGATATTTTATATGGATAATGTGTTTGGTTGGATATTTGACTTGGAGTCGTGCTCTTGATACTTAGAGGTCCTCGTCATCATCATCATCATCAACATCATCATTAACAACATTTCTAAAAAAACAACTACACCTACAGCATAGTTCGTGGACTTTTATCGCTCAGAGGTACGAATTTTGGTGAGATTTTCCCCTTGATCAAGTGTTCTTCTATGACAGGATTCTGGACCGTACAAAGAATTGGGAGTGTCCACCATGCTTTTGCTTGCCGGCAGATCACTGGTACTCAAACCCATTCGGCCTCTAAAGCGTTATGGGAGTAGGCCGGGGGAGATCCTCCTTATAAAGCAATAGGATATATCTTGAATGCATCGTACCTTATATAGAAATATTGCTGTAACACGTGACAGCTGCCATTTAAATGAAAAACCAATGAGATAGCTACAAAAAAGACTGCTGTGTATTCTCGTGTATAGTAATTAAGAACTTTATTTTTTTTAAAGTTTGTCAAAGAAGGTTRTTAATTATAGGTTCTTAATTGCTATGAAAGGATACATCTATATGTTGGTTGAATAAATCGTAGATACTAATGAGAAATACTTTGTTATAGTTCCACCAAGATGGGAAGGGTCACGTATAGCAAAAACAAAGGATAGAAGAGCAGTTTAGACGATGATGCAATTGCCCCGCAATTGCACAATTTTTTAAACAGAAGATTAGTAAAATACAATTGTTAGATTTATCGAGTATTATTAGCATCAGAGAAACTAGTAAAATCTAGTATTGATTGAATACTAAATAATATATAGTATATAATTTATAAGGCATAGTCCTATCGAGCTAAGCGAAATGTACAACCTCACGTGGAATATCATCTCTTAGTCCACTCCAGCTTGCAGTCTAATTGTTTTGAAACATTTGGTGTATTTCCTCTAAGTTTGACTAAGAAAAGCTATATMCTTTAAGACGTATAATAGCTATTTGAGACTTTGGTGGGATTATATAAGASAATACTTTTCCAGTATCTTTCAAGCTGGAGATTTCGAGCTTGTGATAAGCTCGTTTTGCGTAATGCAACCTCAAAAACACATAAACATGTTTTCTTTGCAAACAGTTTCTTTTATCTAATATCAGTGAGTCACCGCTTTGACGTTCCTTTAAAAGTTTTTGACTAATGCAGAAATGTTAATTATTCAAAGCATATTTTCAACAATACTGATCAAATCCTTTGCAAGGATATGATTATTCCATTTATGGGAACTGCTCGTGCATGWAATGATTTGAATAATGAAGCCGGTACTCTAGTGCAGTTAATCTTATATTGATGTAGAATCTCATTCAAGCATGGTTTCTTCTGTCTGTCCCTAATGATGTGTCAGCTAGTCACGACTCACGTACACTACACCTGTCCTTTGGTGTCCTCATGGTATTCAAATCCTAAAAAAAATCTAAATATACAACAATATCACTATAATTACACTGTGAAATATAAAATATTGATTCGAGTTCAAGTTCAATTTTAGTTTTTTTTTGCAACGGAATTACAATGAGTGATTTTGGCCTGCAAAATAGCAAAAATATTAATCGAGGCAGGCCAAGCACAATTAGATTTCAACTATTTAAAGAGCAGTCTATGTCTATTCAGTATATTCGAAAGAATTTTTATTGCATCCTGAATTTGGTTTAAGACCAACTTCCTGGACAGTCGATGGCATCTTTTTGACATATTTTGGTACCATGMTTCCTGAATACGGTAATCGTGAATATACAAACATATAATCCCCAGTATAATCCCTCTGTTTAGGGCGGGAAATGAACCATTGTCAACAGCCAAAAAAGTTTTAGCAGTGCTGAGTTAGTGATTTTTTTAAAATGGCAAACAATTCTCGCTATGAACTAATCACGTTTTTTATAGAAATGCTTGCTTTTTGGGGTACCGAATCATCTAGAAATTGGGCGAGACAGGCTACATCTATTGAGGTTTTTCAGCCCACGCGCGGGCTATGCAACTTGTGCAATAATTAATCAGCCCTTAAACGCCAATTGCATAAAAAAACGAGTGATTGGCCKGTTTCGTTGCTACTTGAATAGAAATAACATCACGTCGTCCTTAAACGAGCTAAGAAAAACAAAGAACTTATATTTCTAACAAACGACTCCAGAAACTTCCATTGTCTGTTTTGTGTTGGGTTGTAAACACTTCTTTGTTCAAACCAAACCAATAAAGTCAAACAAAAGGGGGGTATTTAGCAAAGAAACTTTTATATAAGTCACCACCACATGAGCCTTGTATTTAGACTTCGTTACCCCCCCGGTTTTAAACTCTGTTTCCATACCTCGAATATTTTGTTTGAAGATATTGCATCGACCAAAACGCACACGGTGACATAACACTGGGAGTCATGTTATAGATCTGTAACGATTTATCGCTTGAGTACCAATGCGTGGAACATAAACCAAACAGAAAATGACCAAGAAGGCAATTATAACCGTCCTATCTCTGTTAAGTAGTGTTCTTCTTGGTGTTCAAGGTAAGATGACTTGTTGAAGAAGTCACTTTAAGTAAAGTTCCTATAACTTTCTTAATGCAAGGAAAGTGCACTTGATAAGAAMCTTATTTGCCGACTACTTAAACGTTTTAGTTATCGATGGGGCATTGAAAACGTGACATCTGTAGAAATCTTTGTTTATTGATTTAAATGAATGGCATAYCTGAGCATGTTGACCATGTTTTTATTCAAAATGTGATATTTTAGCAATTTACACCTACATTTTACATCAACAATTAGAGCATAGAATCAAATATTCCCAAGTTGTGTGCCATGCCTTTTTGTAACTAGCCCGATATAATGACATGTTTCTATCAATCTTAAAAATGATGAGTATTTAAAGATTTTTATGTGACATTAAATATTGGATATAAGTCTATAAGAACTTGTAGAAAGTGACAGTTTCGAGATTTATTTCAAAACGGCTTGARCCATATCACTTCAATGTGACAAAATGCAAAAATGCTTGGCAAAGAACTGACCCTTGAACTGAGTTCCACAAAAGGATTTTGGTACTTGTTTTGCAAATCACAGCGACTAATAACATGAAGCTTAACAGTGCGTGAATTTGGAACTCGTGCAGACCAGGAGTTGTTGTTGATGTTTACGCCAGTAAACCCCCCAGGGAAATAATTATTTCTAAGTATTCTTCCATATAGAATTTTTGGCATAAAATAATTGTTTATGTAGAATATTCGGAGGACTTCAGGATAAAGTTCCTTTCCAAATTTGGCGCAAATATGTCATAGCGCTGTCTGTAAGGCGATATGATTCGTAGGTCGAGCTACCAGCGCGCATWGCAAAAAGTGTCCCGAGCTCCAACTGACTTGTAAGTCTTTTAGTTACCGACATGGTTGGCACTGTTTCTTCTATCTTATCTAAAAGGATCATTCATTCACCAATTATTTRGATCAATGACATCGGTCATCAGAAGTCACTTAAGTAACGTACTTGGCGAACGGATATCATAATTTAGTYACACGATATAGAACAAATTCTCTGTCAAATTTTTATCTACGCGATGGTTGTCGTCGATTGTTCCAGACATTAATTAAGAAGGATTTTTGACAGTGATTTTGATTGTAATCCAAAAATAATTGGACAATTATGTAAGTGTGCAATTTAGGGTATTTTGATAGCTTAGCAGTGAAGCAAGTCGCAACTCCTCCGTAAGATCAGCCTAATGATTACTGTATAAAGCTACATGACTGATATGACCTCTGAAGTTATAAAGAGCAAAACTATCCCCGTTCTGTGAATGGACAAGAAAAGKAAGCTTTGATTGCTTCATCCAACATGGCGGCCATGAAACTGCCAGAACACGATCCCATTATTTAAGGAATAAAAAGACTTTAACAAGATGCAGTGTAGTGTCTATAGACATATTGAGCATCTTTGACTTTTCGTCTGTGTTTTTCCTTCGTCGAAAAATGTGTTGACAACGYACTCAGTCGATCAAGCATCTGGAAAAAATGTAAACCACCCAAGGTCAGGGATTTTTTCCTTATTCGAGTCAATGGACTGTTGACATCGAGTCATTTTCAACAGTCTATCTACACTATTGAAGACTTATCATTAGCAATTCTCTCGTTTTTCAACGCGCCGTAGTCTGGCAAAAACTTGGAGTTTTTTTATTTCATTAAAGTGCGCATGCGCAGAAAAGGATCCCAAATAAGTGAGATTTGACTAGTGTTTTTTTAAAAAGGGCAACTAGTGACTTAAAGATGGCTTTCTTTATTACGAATGATAAAATTTAAGCATAAACTACGGCAATAGCTAATTTTGATGAGGAAATCCTGCACAACTTGTCTAMAAGCTTCGATTTGATTGGATCATCTTCTGGACTATGGGAATTTTGTACAACTATCGCAATCTTATTATCATTCTTTCAAGTAATATAAGGAGTGATAATAGAAATGTATCATGAACGACAACATGCATGAGGTTAATATCTGGTTATCTTTCAGACGATTAAATCTGCTTTGCATCAACATAAAGTCGAGTGGAATTCCGATCATAGTTTGAGAAATACTTGTGATGAGTGCTTCTTTCATAAATAAAACGGAGAATTTGTCACAGATACGTGTCATCGTCTTAGCGAAACTCTTCTCAAAAGCTCATAGTTATTTTTCCCTTAATTTTTAAGTCAGATCATATTTTTCTTCCTTTCAGATGTATTATTCTAGAATATCCTGAATTTCGAACACTTGATCGGATTTGRATGTTTATAAATGTTGCTTTCCTGTTATTTTGCACATCAAAGACGGAATCACGCAGGGTATTTAGTCACTATTTACAATATCTTTCTTCCATAGCGAACATATTGGTAAAATATGGAGGACGGATTAAATTATACATATATAACCGTGTCATATTACATTTATATTCATTTTCCTTTTCATTCTTAAASTATTGATGGTACATTGGAAACGGATATGTGTTGTAGAAGCGCTGTCAGATCATTGCCCRAAAAGTATGCTGGGTAATTTAATTCTGACTTTTAGAGACGACATTATTTATTTAAAGCTTGCACTCTTTACTTGGCAATCACACCATTTTAATAAGTCGAGTAGCGTTTTTACAGTTGTTAAAATAATATACATCATTTCGCGAGTATCAGGCTGTTGTCCCTCCCTTCAATTAATCACCAATACTCAGGACCCTCAGGCTATGATATCAATTAAATTAATGTGTGGAGTCCAATAAATCTAGTGACCCATTAGCTGTGCCATATGCAAACCAGTATTGATAAGGTCCATTACAYGATAGTACATGTAGCTCAAATACATGTCAGCATATGCTTTGAAACTATTCCCTTTATTTCCTGTATCATTCTTGCTTTGAATAGTAGACAACAAGACAKACTCTCATGTCATCAAAAGTCTGCTACTAACAAGTAGTCTACGAACTAAATGTAACGACTATAAAAAAGTTATTTAGGAAACCATGATTAAGTTTTACAGTTCAACAGCTTTTGTTATATCGGCGTCAATTGAATCGCGTCATTAGAACTTTTAATTCTAGAAATGATAATCAGTTAAGCCAACGAGTAACAAAAAGAACAAGCCCATATTTTAGGATGTTCTAGAACTKKAGTAATTATTGTTTRAAGTTTTCCGGCATTTCAGTTATATTGACAATGGCTAATCAAATTTTCGTGGCACACCTTTCGGTACTTCCTCCGCAAATACTCAATGAATAAAGCTTGGTAATAAATATWAAAKAATTRTATGATACGTGTCATATTTTGSCATAGGTTYACCCCACCCGTCTGCCCAACCACTCCTAGTTTCCTGATCAACAATGAACATCTTAAATGGATGATAATATTTATTTTGTCTGCTTATCTTCTAGAGTGAGCATCTTGATCAAATGTTCCAGAGATGTGTCAATTTTTCAACTATAAATTRCATTATTTCCGATCAAACGCAGTTCAGTTTTTAACCAAGAGGTTTCTAAATCAAATGGCCTTCTGTTTATCGGTATATATGATTTAGAATGCAGTTTGTAGATTCTGATCAACCGTTCCATTGTAATYCGCAATATTGATCAATCGTTCCATTGAAATCAATGTTGATCAATCGTTCCATTTCAAGTTTTCTTTATTTTCTGAGCAATCATACAAGTTTGGAAAACAAATAACATGCAGTTGTCATATGCCACATTCTTTTGACCTTACACTCTAGAACAAGGAACTCTACGTTGCCTAAATCAATCAAAATGCCATTAAATTCTTATCTTRTTCGTGAACGGCCAAATATCTAAATTTCTTTATCAATCCAAAACTGACGGTGAAAAGTCCATTAGGCAAATGGCCAGGAAAATTTGAAACCATTTACCAAAGCATTAATGCTATTTTGTTTACAAGAATAAAATCTACCTCTTATCTGCATACGGATTGCATTAGAAAAATTACAATTCCCGGAGGCTGTGTTAAACTGGTGTTAACCAAAAAAAGCTGATCACTTGCCTAGCCCTTCTTTTCCAATGAATGGTTGCCAATAGTCATCATAAAGCATTGTTTTATCGGTGATTGTGTATTGTAGTCCATGCTGTGTGATCTACTGCTCACGATACACTATTCATATGATCATCAGTATTTGGTTTTATGAAAACAAAACTATCCAATTACTACATTTTAAAAGCAATAATGTAAAAGACATCTGGTAGTGTCACGAATAGCCTCAAGGGGGAAGCAACATTTGTTTATGCTTATAAAAACTATGTACATTTACTGCCAAAACCAGCTAAAGGTCGTCTATGTTTAACTTGCGCTTTCTTAATGGTTGATTGGCGCATATCCAATTTTGCACGTGTTGTCCTACAACGTTTTCATGTAATGCCGCGGGATTTCGTGTGACTAGGACCTGGGGACTTAGAAACTCACGTGTAATACCCATGACAGTCACGAATCTAGTGACAGATAATAAAAATATTGTATTTGATAGGCACGTTACGGTTAAGTCACGGAAACGTTTTTAGCAATTATTGCACGCATGCAMTGTATACAAATGTATATCATTAGAATAATGATAATGATAATGATAATAATAATTATAACAATAAAAATGATCATAATAATAATACAAAATCTATATACACTTTCCTACATTCATATCAGCACAATTTCACCCGTTTTTTCACATTGTAAAAGTTTGATTTAAAAAAAAATCACTTCCACAGTTGCGCGCTACTTTACAATACCGCAGTTCAATGTGAATGCTGGTTCATATTTTATAACCCTGGTCTGCTTGCACGGATGTGGCGAATAAATGGGRTTATCAGATCTATATCTGATCACATAAGCCTCTTCAATCTTGAACTGGGAAGAAGACAGTATTTGTCTTGTTTAGTCTATGAATGAATAGCTTCGGAAATATCTTGAATATATTTCTGTTGACCTGACCACGCAGTATGTCTTCAACATACAGATATCTATGTTGAGTTACAGATTATCATCAAGCCATCATTTCAGTAAAGATTATCAGTATTAAAAGTCTGCTTCTTTGGTTCTTTTACTTGATTAAATTCCCTTTTTTTAATGATTTTGTGTGAAGTTCAGTTCCGTGATGTGCAATTTGGGATAGACTAAGGCATGTTTTTGTGTTTCAGCCTCTTTTGCGAGCAACACAGGCATATTACTTTTTAAGCAGACAGGCTGTTCAGAGTCTTTTAGAAATCTCATGTGTAATGTTCTTCAAAGAATTCTCTACAATGGATTTACCGCCAAAAAACTTTGTCCTCGGAAGCTTTTATAACATAATAATATAATGTATCAAAGTGGTGGGAACTAGCGGTAAACTAGTGTGAGCTATGTCTTTTTATATAATGTATCAGTCAAATGAAATCACGTCCCCAAGAACCCCGGGATACCGGGGAATACCGGGKGAACTAACAGGATTAAAGGCCCTGTATCTCCCGGCCCTGAAGGCCAATTCCTTTGATTTAGACGTAAATTCCAAGGACTCCCCATGGGTCACGCTGTTAAAACAGTGTTTTAACACTAAAAATCTCCGGCTTTAAAGTGTTGATTAACTGATGCATATGAGACGTCCGCCATCTTGAATTAATAACATGATGCACTTCGCTGAAACAACATGACGTCATCATCTTTTTCTTTAATTTTTTATATATAATTTCTTTTTTTTTTATTATTATTATTTAACTCTGGGACAAGCACATTATTTTGTAAACCATAAAATCAAATGAGAAATAAAACAGTTTCAGTTTTAAACGAGCAGGCGCGTAGCGTCCTTTACGCATATACCCACGTACTTACTAGTAGCAAGGAAATATYAAAATTTTCGGTATTTTTTTAATTTAATTTTTTTGTAAAATTGTCTTTTATATGTTTTATTGCTTTATTACATTATATATGCTTTCGATGCCTCTCAAAACGCTGGAAAAGTTATTATTTCAAAATTTACTTGGAGAGGACCAGCAGACCATGCACCCTTAATACTCCGACCTTCGGCGGTCGTTAGTCCCCCAATCCAAAATGTGTGTCGCGGTCCCTGAAATATGTGCGCACTAGCCAAAAAGTCCACGTTACGCGCCTGACATGACGTCATTATTAGAGCGGATTTCGTATGAGTGGGAAAYGGACGGTACTGTACTGTGACCGTAGTCGTACTGTAACCAAATTCTAGTGCCCCATTGGTTCACCAAAATTGTGCAGGCCAGGTCCGGTAACTGTACGGTAACCGTGCGGTAACGGTGTCCCACTCATACGAAATCCGCTCTAGTAAGGAACATTGCTAACTACTTTATTTATTCACTTTGTATATTTAAGGGGAATGTCCGCAGTGCGTACTTCAAAAGCCCATACAGTATATATGCGGTTCAGATGGACACTTTTATAGCAGTATCTGCGAGGTGAACAGAGCAGCATGCTTGTTAGGGATTGATATTAAACCACTTTATAAGGGAAAGTGTACAAAAGGTGAGGACTTAGAAGACAGTCTTTTTCGTATCGTAAAAGTTCACGTGAATAAACCATCTTAATTGTATATAATAATATCCATCGACCATTTGATCAATCAATTGCATTAATAAATCATTCATTTGATCAATTCAACTATTTAATCATTCAATCAATCAATCAATCACTCATGCAATCGTTCAATCATCTAATCAATCAATCAATCAGTTAATCAACCTATCAATCAATTATGTAATCAATCAATCATTTAATCATTCAATCAATCATTCAATCAGACATTCAATCGATCATTTAATCATTCAGAATCAATTAATCAATCATGTAACCGTTCAATCATCCAATCAATCAATCAGTTGATCAGCCTGTCAATCAATCGTTTAATCATTCAATCAATTAATCACTTATGTAATCTTCCAATCATCTAATCAATCCATCAGTTAATCAGCCTGYCAATCAATCATCCAATCAATCAATCACTCATGTAATCATACAATCTATCAATCAACCTGTCAATCAATCAAAAACTCTTTACTGTTTGTATTTTATAGGTGGWCTGCACGTCAGCCTTAGCCATGAGACGTATCAAAACATTACCGCGGGATCCCCTGGTAAAATAACATGTAATTTTATCGGCAAACCTGAATCTGTYCAGTGGTCCAGACAAGGGTCTTCAATTCGAGGTTCCAATACTAAAGCACAAGGAAATTCATTAATATTTATTCATCCAAGAAAAAAAGACGCTGGGACTTACATATGTCAAGCGTTTGACAAACGAGGCAAACAGATTAGTGCAAAAGTTTACGTAGATATTATTGGTAAGGGAAATTTGATGTTACGTTATGTTACGTTACGGGCACCTTATACATCAAATATCAAAACTTCTAGTGAAAAGTCACTATTCCATGAGGCCTATCTATTATAATTAGTTTCTAGGAGTATGTGCTTCCACTTTCTAATCGGAGGCTTCATTGATTTAAAAAAAAAAAATTCGCAACGCATTTTTTTTTTCATTTCTTAAAGGAAGCCCGAGCTCGAATCTGAAATTCCCATTACTCGGGCTTCCTATCTAACCTTTAGCTATTTCGATGATTCCATAAGGTCTATTTATTATAGTTAGATTCCACTATATGTGCTTCCACTTTCTAATCGTTGGTTTCAGTGATTTCGAAAAAAAATTCGTACCTCGAAAAATAATTTTTGTCGAGAATGCTTCAGGCTTTGTAGCAGATTTRATCCATAATTGGGAATATTTCAAAAGTTTCTTTTTGCTTGTTGTAGGACAAAAGATTGTCAAACCACCCACGGAGCATCGAAGGCTGCTATGCAAAGAACCTTCATCTTTTGGAGACTGTAATAAGTACCTTGTACGATGGTAYTACGACGAAAAGGAACAAAACTGCAAACCCTTTGTTTACAGTGGCTGCGGTGGCAACCAGAACAGATTCAAAAGCGAGTCGACCTGCAAAGGATTCTGTATGCAAAAAGGTATGGGTTGGTTGCTTGGTTGGTTGACTGGTTGATTGGAGGGCTAGATTGCTTGATTGATGGATTGATTGATGAATTGATAGATTGATTGACGGATTGACGGATTGATGGATTGACGGATTGACGGATTGATTGATGGATTGATTGATTGATTGCTTGCTAAGGTGGTTGATTAGTTGGTTAGTTGGTTTGTGGGCTAGCTTGTTTGATTGATCGATTGGCTGATTGATTGGCTGCTTGGTTGGTTACTCAGGTATTAATTAGTTGCTTTGTTGCTTGCTTTATTTGACTTGTGATATAACAACTTGCTGATTCGTGATATTGCTTTCTTTTCTATCAAATTCAGCTCCACCAAAATCCCGAGTCTGTCCTGAATCAAGTCAGTCGTGTCCTCTAGTAGTTCAGCATCAATGTGGCGATGACAATGATTGTCAGTATGGTCTTAACTGCTGCATTCACAACTGCGTACGACAGTGTATTTCATCCGTTATACCAGGTATCGATCCATCTAYACACACAAAAATTAGCATGAAAACATTCAGGACTTTCAAAAAATGGCGCGATGTGTCACAGTCGCTTGGAACGAAGCACTTCAAGAGGTCTCAAAGGCCAGCCTTCATATAGTAAACTTCGATGGTGTCTTCCAAGAGAGTTTTGTTGTTRTAAATGCGATCCTCGTAGTGGTTACTAGATGGAAGGCCTTTGCATGAGGTTTCGTTTTCGGTTCGTCACTGATATAGGCGGATGTGAACTGGCGCCATTTTTGAAAGTATAGTATATTTTCAAAGTACAAAAATTCGAACTTTGCTTGCCAAAACGTTTTTTTCGCGGTCGAGTGAAAATTGCTCTAGTCTAATAGTGATTCATTTTTCAGAAAAACCAGGTCAATGCCCCATGCCTACTAACGATACCATCGACTGTGGTAAGACGTTAGACGATGAGTGCCTTAGTGACATGGACTGYCATGGCGAAGAGAAATGCTGTATATGGGCACATGGATGTGAACGRGTCTGCATGCCTCCAGAGAAACAGGGTAAGAGACGAAGTTCTGTCCCTCAGTAGGCGCTTTTAAAAAAATGGAAATAGTCTTCTTCACGGTTCCCTGCGCCATCTTGAAAGGTAGCCGTGCCTTTGAATCAAAGTGACACGACCGTTGAGCGTGCAATGATAGAATCCTTCCGCATCTTGAATCGATTTTGTGAGGAGCTATGGGATTGCTAATCAATATTATATCATAAAGCTTTAAAAAACGTAAAAGATAACAAATTTAGATGTGTTGAAACAATAATTCATACTTTTAAACCAGGCATTATCAGAGAAAGTCATTGTTGGACACGTTGTGATTCTGTTCCCTGGTATCCCATAATTTCATCATGATTCAAAATGGCGGCAATCTATTTACATTTAAATTCTTTTTGTTTTAGTTAAAAAATGCAAAGCAGTCATCGATCTTGGATTCTTGTTGGACGCATCAGGAAGCATTCGTCCTCAAGTATGGCCAGATATTATCAGCTTTGTAAAGAAAGTTCTMGACCGRTTTGAGGTTTCRCAAGACGGAACACACGTTGGCGCGATCACTTATTCCTCAACCACTGAACTCCATTTCCGATTCAATACAGTCAAGGGAAAACATTATCTCAAAGAAGTCCAGAACCTGTTGAATGACATGACACGCTTGAATGGCTTTACGTTCCCATATAAGGCATTGGGATTAGCCAATCAGGAGCTTTTTTCGTCACGTGGAGGRATGAGAAAAGAGTCTAAAAAGGTGAAATGAGAAATAAAATTAAATATGGGGTTATTCCAGGAGGGAGGGGGATGCTAAAAGGGGGGGGGGGAGTTGACCCCAAAAACGACAGCCTCTAAATAGAAGTTCAACTGTATCTCTATTTTAAGGTAGCAATAGTTGTTATCCATGGAAAACAGACCACCAGCAAAGGTCCTGTAGTCCCACTCAAACAAGCATCAAAACCATTGAAGGACAGGAACATCCAAATATGGGCAATTGGTGTCGGACGCGATGCYAGTCGACAAGAACTCTTGGACTTGGCTTCAAGTCCATCGAACGTGCTCACTATTAGATCATTTGGAGATATCTTTGGTGTTATTGACAAAATGACTGAACGAATTTGCAATGGTAAGCTCCGTTTTCATTTTCTTCTGTAATCACCATTCCCGTCTCAAATATAAAACTTCACTTTATGTAGAGCAAGGTTTTCCAGCCCCTAAACCAAGTAATTCGTTTGTGCAAGTTCTCTTCGGACTCTTTGAATTTATTTTGCTACTTAAAGTCTCAAATTCAATTTATATTTCGACAAWTGTCTCCGGTAGCCACGTGGCACGTGACCTCTCTAATTACCTTTTGCGCATGACTTAGTCGTTGCATATGCCGTCTGAGTGTCTAAGGGCCTAAAACGGGCTTACCTGGTTCAACGAGCTGGTTTCTACTGTTTGTTGTTTTTCCTATGTGGGACAAAGAGTCCGCTAAATATTGTATGGGTTGTATCCCCTTTTTTCACAAGATAAACGAACTACTTTAGTAATTCGTKCCATATGTTTTCACTACTTATAGAAAGTGGTCCAACAGCATGCCAGAAAGCTTACCAAGAAGCTCTAAGAAGAAATGAGACGATATTGCCGCGATGCTTAGATGATGGCAGCTATAGCAAAACCCAATGCAATCGCTTCTTTTGCTATTGTGTGGACGCAAATGGTGTGAAGATCCCAGGAAGTGAGACCAGGATTGAAGCTGGAAAACCAAGATGTCTGGAAAAAGGTACAGATTTATCATACTATGTAACTTTAAATGGTGATGTCATTAGTTCTATTTGTTGGCGAGCTCCAGAATAGCGCTTATTCAAAATGTCTGATAAAGTCAGGGTATTTTTTTACAGATAAGCTTACACCATGCCAGAAAACCTACGCTCGAGCCATTGTCAACCCTTCTCTTGGACAACATATCCCAAGATGCAAAGCAAACGGTATGTACGAGGAAGTACAGTGCGAGGGAAAGTCACGTGAATGCTGGTGCGTCGATAAGTCTGGTCAGMGGYTACCTGGCACCAATACAACATCAACTCTACAATGTCCATCACACGAAGGTAACTTGGGATATTGAAATAAGCTGAGATATAAAGTACATGCTGATTGGTTGTAAATATATCTGTTATATAACGATCTCGCTGATTGGTTTATTAAACGAAACGCTAAATATCAGTGACAGGCCGTCGAACGATTAAAAAAAAAGTATGATCGATTTATGATAAAACGTGATCTTTGATTGACTGTAAATAACAAATTTACTAGCTTAATATATAACGTGATTCCTGATTGGCGAAATAAAGGAATAAAACTTCTTGAATTTCGTATTAGATTCAGATGCCCTAACGCCATGCCAAAGGCGTTACTTCGAAGCGTCACGCAATCCAGGCTCAGATCAATATATCCCGTGGTGCACTAAGGAGGGAAAATATAGATGGCATCAGTGTCATCAATCTTACTGTTTCTGTGTTAATAAAAATGGGGACGAGRTTCCTGGGACGAGAATGAGAACTGAAGCTGGACGACTGAACTGCACAGCCAAAGGTAGGACTAGTGTCAAGTATGGATCCAGGGGGGAAACTCTGCTGAAAATATCCTTTATATCTAGAGGTACAACATTAACTCATCATTAAGACGCCTTTCCTTACAGGAGCACATCTAACACCATGTCAACGGCAACTTATACAATACGGTGGTCGATACTWCTATCCTGGTCGGTACTCTCCTACCTGTAAACGGGACGGTCGATATGAGGAGGTTCAGTGCCATCCATCCATTGGAATTTGTTGGTGCGTCGATTCCAATGGATTGGAGATAAGTGGAACGCGTTCATGGGGAAGTATAAGCTGCACCAAACCAAGTACGTATTTTATTCTGCGCTGTGATCTTCTCAACTTCTTTGTTGCAGTTACGTTTCCTATAGATATACTTATTCCTATACATTTTTTCGTTACTCACCCGAACTAGATCGTTTTTACGTACGTATTTCGCCTTGAATATTGCGTCGTCTTTACGCTTTCCGTTTGCGGTATATTTACGCACATTTTTTATCGTTCTTACGCATAACCAAAATGATACGTTTCTGTCAATATCCTCTTTACGGATAAGAATGTTTACGCAGTAAAGATTGCGTTAAAAAATTAAGTACATCTTTATGGATGTTCACAAACTTGCGTAAAGATCCGTAAAAACGCATTTTCGTGTGATATATTTCAATCCACATCTTATCAGCTAGGATTTCCACAAACACGTTTTAAGTTATAAAAACCTCAACGTGGATCATTTTTATCTGTTCCACAGAAAAACCRTTGACTTTATGTCAGACGCGCTATCAAGAGTTACAACGTAAACGTATCGAGGGTAGTCATTCMCCATGGTGTAACGAAAAAGGAGAGTTTGAACCGATGCAGTGCTTTGGTCCAGAGTGTTTTTGTGTTGATAATAAAGGTGCTACGATTGAAGGAACATATGTCAGTATTACACAGGGAAGACCAGACTGCAACCAGCCAACAAAAGGTAGAAATATGATTGGATGAAATAGCTCTATTTATTTATACAGCTATTTCAAAAAACGTTGTCGTGGAGTAATCATTGTCATGGTAATTCTGTAGAATTCAAATGAAATAATAATAACTTTTTGCCTCGTGTTCTTTATGTTACAGCTCTGAAAAGAAGYAAATGTCAAATAACAAGTGCATCAGATGTTTCCCAGTATCGAACGTTCAATCATAAGTGCACGTGGTCTGGTGATTTCGAACAAATTCAGTGCGACTCGTCATCACGTCAATGTTGGTGCGTCCATCAAGATGGTAGTGAAATGCCAAGAACAAGAACCACATCCGTTTTCAGATGTCCCACAATAGGTATAAACCTCTCCCTCCCCTCCCCTCATGAATAATCAAGATCAGTTACAGCAAGCATTATAAGATGTGTATGTTAAATTGTAGAGGCCTACCCCCCCAGATTCTCCCCAATGCCTTATGAAATACATGACATTCACAAYTTTTCAGGGAGGGYAYTACCAAAGTGCCAGCAAGAATACCAGGAAAAGAATAGACAGTGGTTTTTAGAAGGGCGSTCAGTACCATGGTGTACAAATGATGGACACTATCAACGCTATCAATGCTTTAGATCCTATTGCTAYTGTGTGACCACGMAAAATGGAGTGGAATTATTTARATCCCGCATGGAGATATCACGTGGCGATGCTGTTTGTTCTAGCAAAGGTACATCGGTGAAATATTTTGAGATTTTTCCACAAGAGTTTGATGAAGTTCTAAAGTTTCCGGTTACACTCATTGTTCGGGATATTATATGATCGGGAAATACTCGGAGGGGGTAGTTCAGGAGGAGCCAACGGATTCTGTTCTTCTAAATATAAACTGGTCTTGTACGAATCTTTTCCTGGGAAAGGGATTTTGAGTTACATTGTTGACAATCCGACAAGCAAGTGTGGCGCCCTTCTTTAAAATAATTTTGTTCCTAGCAAACGTTTTTAAGGTCAAAAAGGGGACATAAGAACAGGTATAATTCTCCCAGGAACCCGTTGGCTCTTCCTGGTATAATAGTCTAATATCTTCACTTTCTCCAACGATATCTTTTTAAATTAGCTCCCGCAGAAACTGCATGCGAAGGTCAGAGAAGGCAAGCTTTATCAAGTCGAAATCCTGGMACTTTTCTTCCCGAGTGCAAACAAAATGGTGACTTTTTAGAAGTACAGTGTGATGGYTTACAGTGCTTTTGCGTTAACAAAGATGGCCGTGAAATACCTGGAACACGAACAASCAATGGTGTAAAGCCTTCGTGCCAAAAAATGGGTACGWAGTCTGCTAAAATGGGAGATTAACTTMATACCYTTCTTCATTACTATCATCAAACTGGTTGACTTTTGTTTTTGATCTGCTTTCCAGATACAACATTAACCCCATGTGAGCGCGCTGTACAAGAAGCGCTTTATCGCGGCGATGGGTACGTCCCAAGATGCACTGTAAGTRGTGACTATCAAGACATACAATGCCACGCTACGTATTGTTGGTGTGTGAACATAAACGGCCAGGAATTGCCAGGAACGAAAACCACAGGATCTGTTTCTTGTCCCGGAAAAGGTAATGATAGGAAACTCAGGATGGCATCTGTATTATACACGTAAATGATTATAAAACTGCAASAAAATCGCTAGAAATTCCGAATCAAACTGAGCGGAGAGTTTTACGCAAAATATTATTATGCCAACTCGGTGCCAGTCATTTTCAGTCAAAAATAAGCCCGCAAGGAACGCCTGTGATACAAATACAACAAAATGGCGGTCGACGTTCAAGAAGAGCAAGATATCTTTGATTTCCACAGCAACAAAAGCGTGTCTTTCGACAACTTCGAATTCTTAATGACTATGAATATCGAGAAAACAAAACYAAAATGAGATTTTAGCCAAAACACTTGAAACTAGATAAAAATGTTGACGAAAGTCTACTCCTACAAGCAACGTTACTTGAAGGTTAAGCATAGTCACTCTGTGCTTTTCCAGGTATAAAATAAAATGCAAATTTAAATAAAATCCTTGTAAGATATTGAGGATTTAAATCGATCACCTTTTTTRATATGTTTAAAACGATCCTTCCCTAATGAACATATCCATTCAGAATGTTCCTATAGTTATGAAGTATTGTAAGTACTTAAAATTATATTAATTCATCACTTTTGTTTTATAGGTCCATTTACAAGCCCTTGTTGGACAGAATACCAATCAATTTCCAGGAAGCCATCATTTCCTGGACAATATGTACCACARTGTGAGCKTGATGGTCGGTATTCAGAGGTCCAGTGYCACGTGGGGTATTGCTTCTGTGTTGATTCAACTGGTACTGARAGAAAGGGATTCTCTGTTGACACMAGGCATGGAAAACCAACATGTGAAAGAAGTGGTAAGAAACTGTTGGCCATTTAGTAAAAAAAATGAATTTTTYCAAAATTTTGCTTAATAGTTCATCTATAATCTTAATCTAACTGTTATCATGTTAGCCTTTAGTCTGTAGTACTAAATGATATATTCCAAAAAGATCAGATTCCCTTCCTGTATTATAAGTTTCAATGTCAGAATGCAAATCAAAGTTACCCCACCAAATACCACAACATTTATTACATTCCAATCAATTTGATTGACATCTGTCCATCAATAGACGACCAGATGACGGAGTGTCAGGCTAAGCGTAGTGCTGCAATGAAAGCAAACCCTAACGACATACCTGTCATCGCTGAATGTACACCAGATGGCGAGTACAGCAACGTGCAGTGTAACAGATTAACTAAAGAGTGTTGGTGCTCAGACTCCAATGGGGTGGAAATTGAAAATTCAAGAACCAATCAGACATTGCAATGCAAAAATAAAGGTACGAAAGAAGTAAAGAGAATTTTAATCTTAAAAGAATTTGTGTATTGTAATTATATTGGGTTCATTTCATGCTCTCTTTGGCAAAAATTGGTGGTTAACTTAGTCAGCATAATTCACCAAATTTATATTCTCATGATAGAATTTTTGAAAGTCAATTTTTTTTATGATAACAAGTTACAACTAATTTCCATATACCACAAGTATTAACTTCTTTATATCAATGATAAACGTGTAAGACATTTTTGTACATCTGTAACTGAAAATTAAAAAAAAAAACATTCAGAAAGAGTTTTTTAAAGTCATATTTTTTCTTTCATGAGAACAATTTACAATTACAATTTTTTTCCATATATGGCAAGTTAAAACTTCCTTATATGGATGWTGAAGGGCTGGAAGACATTTTTGCATCCTGATCTTTTGAAAAATCATCAACAGTAGCGCAAATTTCATTATTAATTCAAAAATTAATCCATATACAACAGGGAGGGTGCATCACAGAAAGGGGGGGAACTGATGTACGCAACTTATGTCCTTATATCATTCTGGGTGTGTTTCAGTATATAAATTATCCAGTGTTTTTTTTCTGATCAGCCAATGAGACTCTTTGTGGCAAAGACTTCTTTCCATACTCTCGTGCTTTGATTGGTCAATGGAATCACGTGTCAGTGTGTTACGTGAATGGTGCATATCGACCCATWCAGTGTGATGGTAACAARGGCTACTGCTGGTGTGTGGACGATAATGGCAGATCACGMTGGGATTCTGTCCTCCGTGCTATCCCAGCATGCAAACCTGGTTGTAAGTAAAAGAATTTTTCGAGTGCTTTTATATTATATCTGGCGTSCGCCATTTAGACTCAAAAGTCTTTCAAGACAGCATGCTGGTTWACCGGCGAAATAAACCATAGCWTTTTTCWTGAAATCCGCCAATCAGCGYCCGTGTCAGAATTGAGCTATAAAATAATTGATATATAAGAGGCTGCGCAAATAACAGCGCCCTACTCCTGCCCAGTACACCATCGTGCGTCAAGTTGTTCTTTCTAAAGCAAAGTTTTCGTTTCCAGACTCGTTGAGTGCCTGTCAAGATCACAGACGAAGAGTTCTTGGCYTGAGAGGATTTGTCTCTGCCAACACCTATGTACCCCAATGTAATGATAATGGTTCCTACAAACAAGTACAATGTCAAACTATGAATGACATGCTATATTGCTGGTGTGTGAACGATAAAGGCAAAGAGATCAGTAGGACAAGACAGAAGGGACGACCAAAGGAATGTAAAATAAGTACGTAACATGCTACAGTCAACTCTCGTTATAACGGACACCTCTGGGGCAGTAATTAAGTGTCCGCAGTAACGAGTGTTCGCTGTAAAGGAAGTTATTTCAGTACAGTTACTCTCGTTATAACGGACACCTTCAGGACATTAATTAAGTGTCCGCAATAGCAAGTGTCCGCTGTAAAAAGAGTTATTTTCAGTACAATCAACTCTCGTTGACTGTACTGACACCTTCGGGTCGGTAATTAAGTGTCCGCAATAACGAGTGTCCGCTGCAAAGGGGGTTACTTTCAGAACAATCAACTTTCGTTATAACGGACACCTTCTGGGCAGTAATTACGTGTCCGCAATAGCGAGTGTTCGCTGTAAAGGGAGTTATTTTCTGTACAGTCAACTCTCGTTACAACGGACACCTTCTGGGCAGTAATTAAGTGTCCGCAATAGCTAGTGTTCGCTGTAAAGGGGGTTATTTTCAGTACAGTCACTCTCGTTATAATATTCCACAGAGCAGACAATAACCATAGTCAAACACGAAATAATTTTACATTGAATTATATTAAGAACTAATTTCCCTTTTTATCGTCTAAGCAGGGGACATCACTCCTTGCCAAGAGGAGGTAGAGAAATCTCTTCTTACTGAAGGAGATCAAGGAAGATTCACACCRCGATGTAAAGCAAGCGGTGAATACGARGAGGTTCARTGCAACGAGCGAACAGGGTACTGCTGGTGTGTGGACAAGAATGGAAAAGAAGTCGTGAATACTAAATCTAAGGATTTTATCTTCTGTCCAGGGCTTGGTATGATTTATGTTCACCAATATTGATAATATTACTATTTTTACGTATAGCGATACTCAATGTTCATCAACAAACTCATTCTTATGTTAATGTGCCAACCATGATCAGAATGGCTTTTCACAAGTCAGTTTGTTCTAACAGCCAATCGTCTTCTGGTTGGCACATGAATAACAAAGGCTTACGTCACATTGATTATAGCTACGGTAAAATGACTTAGACACTGTTCACTTACAGTAAAATGACTTAGACCCCTAGTGGTAGGGCCAAGATCCTTTATTTTCAATCCTCCAGGGAAAAGAAAACAAAAAGAGTTAGTTCTGCCACGTAGCGGCACCCTATCTCATGTAAACAGGGTCTTATTCACTCTCGTTTTCAGGGCGTGGTCTCACTAGTTGTCAACGTGAATACCAGAAAGCGGAACGCGATAAGTTTACGTCTGGTCGGTTCATGCCACGTTGTACCCCCAAGGGAGAATGGGTTGATGTGCAGTGTCATACATCAGAGTGTTACTGTGTCAACGAGCATGGCTTTGAGATTTATGGAACTAGAATTGCAATGCCAGGAAAACCAAATTGTACTGAAGCTGGTAAGAAGCGAGTTTACAGTAGTTGCTATTAAATCAAGCACTTTCAAACTACTTTCGCACGTTTTCTTCGTTCTTCATCTTTTTCTCTGTCTTCGTCCCACTTCTTTTTCTCTTCTTCGTTTTCTTCTTTCTCTTTCTCATCTTCTTCCTATTTCTCTTCCTCTTCCTCATTAATCACTAGTAGCTGTTGGATTAGAATTATTCAAAATGCGATATTTGACCATTATTATTGACATTTAGCGTCRAAGCCCACCGAGTGTCAACAAAAACGTCAATCATTGTTGGATAACGGTGTTCCAGGAGCCAACATACCACAATGTACTCTAAAGGGTGGATTTGATCCAGTACAATGTCGGGATACCGTTTGCTATTGCGTCGATCAACGAGGCAATGAGATACAGGGAACCCAACTCGCTATTGCTGATGGGAAACCTCAATGTGATAATCCAGGTTGGTAWGGGAATGGACAGAAGTTATTGAGAGAGGGAGGGGGGAGAGGGGAGGTTATATGGCAGATCAATAATCACTTGTTTTTAACCCCTATAAAAAAATGGTCACAAAAAATAGTTATAAAAAATAGTAATAAAATTTTGATTATCACATGTTGTAGGGTCTTTATCTAATAATTCCTGACAAGCAAAGCTTCATTTAGTCGACACTTTCAAATTCTACAAAAAAAAAACAGTTTTTTATTCATAATACCGCCCAGAAATGGTAATTGCAACATTTTTATCAATCTCTGGTTAATTTTTTTTCTTGTATTTTTGCTTTGATGTTCAGCCCTTAAGTTRTCCCTCTGTCAGCGTCAATTCCAGGAATACTGGAGAAGTCCAATCAGTGGTCGTTATGTCCCACGTTGTGACAGTGCTGGTCGGTTTGATGAGGTTCAGTGTTTTGGTCCATACTGTTTCTGTGTTGAYACAAATGGCGTTGAGAAATATGGAACTCGACTTCTACAGACATCGGGGCCTGTTGACTGCAGCAATTTGAGTAAGTTACTGGTGAGAAAAATATAAACCAAACGTCACTCTCTAAAGTGCCGTTTACACGAAGGAAAAATTGTCAAGGACGAAATTTGCTCGTGTAAATGGGCAGCAAGGAAAATGTGGCAAGGAAAAATTGTCAAGGAAAACTTGTTGACCATTCACACGGGCAAATTTTCCTTGTCAAGGAAAACTTGTTCTTCGTTTACACGAGCAAAAAAACATTGTCAAGGAGGAATTGTCAAGGAAAACTTGTTGACCATTTACACGGACAATTTTTCCTTGTCAWGAAACTTGTCAAGGAAAAATTGCGCTTAAGAATTATATTTGCTTCACAGAAAAACCGCTGACCCCATGTCAGTCTGAGCTYGCAGTCATTAAACCGCCAAACCCAAACCGTGTGATCCCAAGATGTGATCSGGATGGMTCTTATTCTCCTGTCCAATGCGACGTCTTATCTAATGAGTGCTGGTGCGTTGATRRAAAAAATAACGAGATTACYGGGACGAGGAAAAAGGGAGACATTAYTTGTGGCTCACSTRATGATAGTAAGTATAAAGTGCGCAATGCACTACTGGGTTCACTGCAGTGTTTTAGACATTTTGTGACGTCATGAGTGTGTAAGAATGTAAAACACAAAACCGTGCAAAATATATGTTAAAAACGTGAGGATACAGGGATAGGTCTCCAAGCTTCTCAGACATATATTGTCTATCTTTCACTTTTACTCCRACGAAGGATTAACGTCCGAAACGTCAGTAAGTTACCTCTCCTCCTTTTTTACGGTGTTTAATTTATCTTTTTACACAACTGTTTCTTTAGAAACACCGACGCAGSTCGCACCAGTTTACCGCTAGTTCCCACCATATTGTCTATCTACACAATCTCGTTCCAGAGCCTACGTCCCTCTTGATCAACGACGAGAAAATATTGYTATTTTCTTCGAAGAGCGTATTTCAAATGCTAATGATGCTTGTTGATATCAATAGGCTCCCCAAGAGATAAATGTTCTGTCAAGTCAAGTGACACGGCCTTCAAGAGGTTCATTCCCGGATGTTCGCCGGACAAGAGTTTTACCCCACTTCAATGTGACTTCCGGTACGGATATTGCTGGTGCTCAGATACAAATGGCAATTGGTTCCCATCGGCAATAGTTCGTGGAAAAGCAGTATGCCCTGGCCCGAGTAAGTATAGTCATTTTGTTTCWATACCAGCATGTATCTGGAAAGATCGAATTCAATTCAATGCAGGAAGGTTTCACGGAAAGCGTTTTCTTTTTCTTTTCTGTTCTTTTTGCACTTTATATCCACACACATTGCATCCCATAGTTAATAACAATATCATATTTGCTGAAGTAAATTTCTTAAAATTTTTATACTCTTACATAGAATATTCGCCTTGCAAGATCCACGAGCATATGGTCCTGGGACCAACGGGCAAGGCCCAAGAAGGTGCCTTTATACCGCAGTGTCTGGACAGCGGTCTTTACGATAGAGTACAATGTGACGGTTCTTCTTCGTATTGTTGGTGTGTCGACGATAATGGATTCGAGGAACCAGGGACTCGGGAATTTGGACGSCCGAACTGCGATGAAAAAGGTAAAAAGATAGTTTTACGGATTGCAATATGGGTAACTGCGTAAGAATTCAACATGTTTTGAATCCTTTTCCTATTAGCACTTGAAACACCGTCTTGTTTATCAATTTTTACATAACATCTAATAAAAAGATTTCAAAGCAAAATAATTCAAAATATTTCAAATTATTGTTACTATTCGCCCAAAACTCATTTTTACAACATACTGTATCCACAGTGGGGCATTCTGGGAACGGAAATGGGCATGAAAAACGCAGTGAAACACCTTGTCACCAGGCCCGCCAAAGGGTACTCGGACTWTGGGAGCTTCCAAGTCCCAGGCTCTTTGTTCCAGAATGTGACACAGACGGCTCATACAAAAGAACCCAGTGTCACGAGACTACAGGTCATTGCTGGTGYGTTGACAAATATGGACAAGAAATACCAGGAACAAGAATTATGGGTAAACAGACATGCGCACYACAGAGAAATCTGACCGTTTGTCAGCGAGATCGCATGAGAGGACTGGGTTGGAATGGAAGGTTGATATACGGGTTATTTGTGCCCAGTTGTCGCATGGATGGTAGTTTTGAGCCGATTCAGTGCCAAAAATCAACGGGTCAATGTTGGTGTGTTGATGGCATGGGTAATGAGCTATATGGRACTAGACAAAGTGGTCAAGTTACTTGTGAAAAGCAAGGTAAGGGTTTATATTTTTAAAACCTTTTCCCAGCTAATTCCTAGAATTTGAAACCTCGTTAAACATCAGAGAAGGCTCTAGATAGTTCCTAAGTAAACATAATTTATTTTCGCCGGCATGTTGAGTGATTAAACAAGAGAAGCTAATGAGGAATTTATCATCAATTTATAGTCCAACATGGCGTCTTCTCATAGCATACACACTAAGCATTTCTAAAAATATTTTGCYATKRWTTTTAGTRGGTAAAACACGTTGTCAACAAGTTGCTTTAAGTTCCMTCGATGGTAAGTCCGACCCCATCAAATGTGACAAAGACGGTGGATTCGCCCCTATGCAGTGTTCAATCGGTAATGGTGAACCTAGACAATGTTGGTGTGTTGACAGACAAGGGAAAGAGATCCCAAGRACGCGGTCCTCAGGAAGCATTGATTGCAATGATGTATCAGGTGTGTTGGGATTTGACAATGTGGACCCTCTCTCCCCTCCCTCTCTTAGAAATAATGATAATGACGTCATGTSATGTTTGACCAAATGCACTTTGGTATTTCAAGAGTTTAACGCTTGCTCGCTCACACACTACTGGAGCTTATTGTCTATTTGACTACCGCCAACAGACTATCGCAAAAAAGCAACTGATCTAAAACCCTGCCCACGTGACTAAGGACTCGCGGCCCAGGCTCCTATGATGTGAGAGAAAACATTTTCCACTTTCATTCCCAGCCAGTGGAAAATACAACTTTACTCCTGTGTTAACTACTAAAAATCCACATGTTTGAAAATAAGTGCTTTATTAACTTCAATTTCTACTCTTATTTAAGCGGGTCTCTCAAAGTGTCAGCGAGAGCGGCAACTAACGTTAGGTTGGTCAGGACAAGCACGACAAGACGCGTTTATTCCAGATTGCTCGTCTGATGGCAGTTATGAGAGCGTTCAGTGTCATCAGGTGACAGGGTTTTGTTGGTGTACGGATGGAAACGGCAATGAAATAGTCGGGACTAGAATTCGTGGAAGACCTGTRTGTACAAGAAAAGGTTTGTTTGATCTAAATGTTATAGACTACCATATCGGTGAAGTAATTGAGATTGATTGATTGATTATTTGCTTGCTTGCTTGTTTGTTTATTGATTGATTGGTGGATTGATGGATTGATTGATTCATTGATTTGTATTTCAGCCTCTCGTTCGTCCTGTCTTATCGAAAGGCAGCGTGCAATGGGGTGGTCTCGTCTTCCAAACGGTGCCTTTGTACCTGATTGTCGTCCAGATGGTCGATATAACCCGGTACAATGCTACAAAGGCACATGTTGGTGCGTCAACGAATTTGGCTACGAAATGCCCAGGACAAGAAACAAATYGGGTCGCCCTGATTGTAACAAAAAGCCCGGTAGGTRTATAATTGTTACAGAGAGCAAATGGTTCTGGAACGTACTCATTCGAGACGAAAGACGTTATCAGTTTATGATGCATTGCTTTTTGTCTTGAGATATTACTCCAAGTTCACATGTCTCTCTCCTGCACTTTCCTTTACCTAGCCGCTTTCACATTTTCCTCAACAACCCCACCCCCCTCTCCAAACTCCTCTCTCCCTCCCCCTTTTCATTTAATCAATATTTCCTGACTTCAAATGTATTGTTCTAGAATCTTTTACACTATGTCAACAATGGCGAGCCCGCATTTTRGGAAAGGCTATGCACAGCAGTTTACCAAGAGAAGTGTTTGTTCCCGAGTGTGATTCARAGGGAGTCTTCKCTYCCAAGCAGTGCCATATGTGGACTGGCTATTGCTGGTGTGTGGATGGGTTTGGGAATGTCATTGCCGATACTTACACTAATGGACAACTGGATTGCGCTAAAAAACGTAAGTGGATTGAATGAAAAAATGCGTCTTTCTTGGTTATAATGTATAGACTTCTTGCATATAGACCCCTTACGTATAGACCCCTTGCGTACATTAAAGCAGCCTTGACAGATTTTTGACCTCTGGAGGGGGAGGGTAGAAACATTGTTTTGACCTCCAGTTGGAGCTGTATTCCCATGAACTGCAAGAGGTCTTTTCCTTACTTATCATAGGTCAAGTTTCGTATCATTTCAGTGACAGTGTTTATCTTCCCTCATCAAACCATGTGATGCCAATCTTGGCTAACTTTGAGATAAAGAAACAAATTTTCCCAAAAATTTAGAGCCTGAACCCACTTTCAAACTAGCGTTTCTTTGATACTGATTCATTTTTAAAAGATAAAAAATTGACGTTTTACATTTTACTTGTATTCATTTTGTACTTCCATAGAAAGAACAACAAAATGTCAAAAGCAACGCATGGATTCCAAGAAAAACAATTTGAACCCTCCAGTCTGCACTAAATCTGGCGGCTATAAACTCGATCAGTGTGACAAGTCCTTAGGGGAATGCTGGTGCGTTGATCACCTTGGTAACGAAATCACTGGGTCACGTGTCAAAGATTCCGCCATTGTTTGTGAACCTGCAGGTAARACGATGAATGTATCGGATTTCTTTTATGCTTTCGAGTCCGCATAAATTATCATCTTACGTAGATAATTGCTACTTTCCACTGGCAATTTGCTAATTTGCAGCCGTGCAAGGCCTACTAGAAATTAGAATCTAGCCATATATGTGGTCTGGATGTGATTATTGTCTGAAAGCAGGTTCTCTACATTGATGCCAACGGTGGTCTCCAAGTATACAAAGACGAAACAGAAACGAATGGCACATGTAGACAGAAAACATTTAATTATCAAAACTTCCATCTTTTCTCTCTCGCAGATGGACTAACGTCCTGTCAGAGGGAAAAGCGCCGTGCACACGGCTTTGTTGACAAAGCTATCAAAGGACGATTTGTTCCACGCTGTAAAGCTGATGGTAGCTACGATGATATTCAGTGTCAAGATAGTGGTTACTGCTGGTGCGTGGACGCTGAAGGAGTCGAGGTCCTGGGCACGAGAAAAAAAGGAACTCCACTGTGCTTTGCAGCTGGTATTGTCATTACTTTTCGTTTTATTTTGTTTTGTTTTGTTTTTTGTTTCGTTTTGTTTCGTTTCGTTTTGTTTCGTTTTATTTCGTTTCGTTTCGTTTTGTTGTGTTTCGTTTTTTGTCTCTAAAACACATGTCCTCCTCTTTCGTATATTTTATGCAGCAAGCCTAAGTAAATGTCAACAAGAAAGGGAAATAGTGGAAGAGCAGTACTCATTGTCTGGAGATTCAGGTCAGTTTGTTCCCAAATGTCGAGATGATGGCTCCTACGATGAAATCCAATGTAATAGAAAATCTGGAGAGTGCTGGTGCGTCGATGATAACGGCAGGGAGAGGACTGGTACACGCCAGTTAGGGGAACCATTTGATTGCAACGAACAAGGTAGCTACGTCATACAGTTATTGCGTCATACAGCTATTATATCAAACAGTTATAACGTCTTACAGCTATTGCGTCACACAGCTATTACGTCATACAGTTACGCTTCATATAGATATTACGTCTTAAAGCTATAATGTCATACAGCTCTTAAGTCATACAACTACAGTCAACTCTCGCCTTTCGGACACCTCAATATTACGGACATGAAATAATGAATCCCCGACAAACAAATACAAAGAAATGACTGAAAAACTCTTGTTACTACGGAATCTCGCTACTGCGGACACTAAATACGGTCCCGAGGGTGTCCGTAATAGCGAGAGTTGACTGTATTAAGCCCCTATTGAGCAAAATTGTTTGATGTAACTTTCTAATTTTCCAGTTTACTCCCTTTGTCGTCGCGAACGCAATCGCGCACTCGGATGGACTGGAATCTATATACCCAATGTATTTGTTCCTGARTGCAAAATCGATGGTTTGTTTGAACCGGTCCAGTGCCACGCCCCTTCTGGTTTCTGTTGGTGTGTGAACCGTTATGGCCAGGAAATACCTGGAACTAGAGTTAAGGGTGCAGCTTCATGTTCACGGGCGTCAGGTGGGTTTGATTGCAATTTGATTCAATTTAAAGAAGTGAAAATAAGACTACCCAAGATGCTCTGTAACTACTTTACCAGAATCCTTTGCTGTTCTTGTTATAATACCACTGCATCTTTACATAGTGATAATATCAATATCTCGCTAAAAACGTAACTATTATTTATTGAAATGTTCTTATCATTACTTTAGTATTAACGATATTGAAAACTGACGTTTTCACTTTAGACATATTATTTTACATATAATAATATAGTATTTCATCTTGAAGTAAAGGATCTAGTTTTAAACTAAAATACTCAGTCCTTTACGCACACAAAACTCGCAGTTTATTGAGAAAACTAGTTTCGTCTTACGATCTTATCCTTTAATGTCAGAGCAATCAGTATGTCTAAAATAATATAGTAATAATAATATTTTTTAACTTCTTCAACAGCTGTGCCTAGTATGTGTGTGATGGACCAGCTACGAGCTCTCATTTGGTCAGAACAACTTGACTCCATATATGGCATGTTCTCGCCCGCCTGTACAAAAGATGGTCGTTATAAGCCAGTACAGTGCAATGACGTCACAGGATATTGCTGGTGTGTCGACAGTAGGGGAAATGAGCTTTGGGGTACTAGAGTCCGTGGAAAAGCACCAGACTGCGTGAACAATCGTGAGTATAATTTCGGTATTTTAGCCTTGTTAGGAATACTGCGGAAAGCCTTTTATTTTACTAAAGAAAATTGACATTTACTTTTCTTACCTTTTAAACTGAACGAAAAAACGGAAACGGTATAACCTCTGTCTTTTTTTCATCTAATAAATTTTCAAATATCAGTCCATGCAAGGAGATAAGGACAGACTCTTTTTGTATATTTGATTGGTCGCTTTGTGTTACTTGTCTTATTTTTTTAGCTGAATTATAAACAGAGATGGGATGTCGTATGTTAAAACAGTCAATGTTGAAGTAGAGTGTGTGAGTCTGAGTCTTCCTAATTAGGAGGACAGTACATGCACTTGTTTTCTGGCTACAGCGATTTGAAACGTTAATAAAGTTTCATTTATTTTTTATAATAACCTTAGTTTTATCTTTTTAAAGCTAAAAACATTACTGAGTGTACGAAGTCCTTGCAAGGAGGCCAGCAAAGAGTAGATTACTTTATTGGTCGCTTTGTGCCGCGTTGTGATTCCAATGGTGCTTACAAACCTGTACAATGCGACCCTTCKGGCTACTGCTGGTGCGTAGATCGATATGGACAAGAACTACCCAGGACTAAAGCCAAGGGAATTCCAAAGAGCTGTGGCTTGTTTGGTAAGTTTAGTTATACTGGTGCTATTGAAGCTACGATACATGGTCTTATCGTTAAGATTTAATGCTAAGAGGGAGAAGGAGAATATAACAGTTTTAAAAACTCTTCTTTGTTGTTGTTTTTGATGTTGTTCTTGTTGCTGTTGTTGCTTTATTGTCATTGTCGTTGCTGTTGTTGTCATGATTGTTTTCGTTGCTGTAGTTGTCATCATTGTTTTCGTTGCTGTTGTTGTCATGATTGTTTTCGTTGCTGTTGTTGTCATCATTGTTATTGCTATTGCTGTTCTTGTTGTTACTTTCGTCGTTGTTGTTGTTGATCTTGTTGTTCTTGTGAACTCAAAATCATACAGCTATTACAGCTTTCATAGGGGCACTTGTCCCTTCTGAACTGAACTGTGACAAAACAGAAGGAATAACCATTTTATCAATTTACAACTACAACTTCCCAAGGAGAAGATTCAGTCGAGTACTGTTGTAGAATCACTTATTTCTCAAAACTAGACTCAAAACTGAACAAAGAAATATTAGTGACTCACTATGTAATGTTACACTTTTAGCCGGTACAACCGCTTGTCAAAGAGATCGCTTTTTGTCGATGTCTTCAAATGGTGTCAGTGGTCAGGGACGCTTTGAAGCGCAATGTGAACAACAAGGGACCTACAAAAGACTGCAGTGTGACAAGTCATCGGGCTACTGTTGGTGTGTGGATGAATTTGGAAATGAAATTCCAAGGACACAGTCACGACAAAGGACAACTTGTGATATTGATGGTAAATGGTCGATAAATTGATTGACTATTGCATTTAACTGATTGATTGATCGATTGGTTAAATGATTGATTGATTGATTATTGAATTTAAAGATTGATGGAAG